TTCACCAGTTATATCTTCAGAACAAAGTACCCTACTGCGTACATCACAAAGGGTTCCTTAGAAACCAAGGTATTTATTAGATTACATTTGTGCAAATTCCTACTCTATGATTTCTCCTAATCCTCCTTCCTTTTCTTTACATTGTTCCTCTTTCACTGCTTTGACTCCCTCTAATCAGAATTTGGTTAGCTCTATTTGTCAAATATCTGAGCCTTCTTCCTATTCTCAAGCTGTAATGCATCCTGGTTGAAAAATTGCTATGGATAATGAGTTTGCTGCTTTAGATTCTAACAACACTTGGGACATAGTTGAATTACCACAGGAAAAAAAGGCATTACCTTGCAAATGGGTGTACAAAGTAAAGTTAAAATCAGATGGTTCCTTGGAGAGATTAAAAGCACGATTAGTAATTCGTGGAGATACACAACGAGAAGGAATACATTATAATGAGACCTTTTCACCTGTAGTGAAAATCACTACAATCAGATGCATTTTGTCAGTTGCTATAAAGAAGGACATGAAAATCTACCAGCTTGATGTGAATAATACATTTCTCCGTGGTGACCTTGAAGAAGAGGTTTATATGAAAATTCCTCCAGGTTAGACACCCCTTTCTTCCAATCATGTGTGTCAACTTCGTAAATCACTGTATGGGTTAAAACAGGCTTCTCGCCAATGGTATGCTAGATTATCTGCTGCCCTGAGCACTCAAGGGTTTCATTGTTCCCTCAATGACTACTCTTTTTTCTTCAAGATCACCGGGAACCTTGTCACTATTTTGGTTGTATATGTCGATGACATATTAATTACGGGAAACAATACAGAGGAAATATGTGATATTAAATATTTCTTGAATTTTGAATTCAAGATAAAAGATTATTTGGGAGAAGCTCATTACTTCTTAGGAATGGAATTGGTGCAAGAAAATGGGGGAATGATTATTACCCAAAGTAAATTTGCATTAGAGCTTCTCACTGAGTTTGATTGCCTCGAATGTCGGGATGTGTCTACTCCCCTGGATCCAAATTTAAAGCTTTTTTCCACCTCCGGTGAAACCCTCACAGATCCTACCTTCTATAGATGACTTTTGGGGAAACTGAATTTTTTAACCAATACCAGGCCAGACCTTGCCTATACCGTCCAACACCTTAGTCAGTATATGCAAAATCCTTGTTCTGGTCACCTGCAAGCTGCTTATCATGCCTTAAGGTACCTAAGTAAAGATCCAGGCTTAGGTATTTTCTTATCTCCAACTCCTTCTTTCCAGATTCAAGTCTTTTGCGACTCCGATTGGGTGGCATGTTCTGATTCATGACGATCTGTAAGTGGTTTCTTCTTGAGTCTTGGGGGTTATCCAATATCTTGGAAATCAAAAAAACAGCCAGTCGTTGCCCTTTCTTCCGTTGAAGTAGAGTACCGTTCTATGCGTCGTCTTGTGGCCGAGATCACTTGGGTTGTTCGACTTATTCAAGATTTGACGGTCACTCCATTTTTTCTAGTGCCTATCAATTGTGACAGTCAAGCAGCAATTCACATTGCTAAAAATCTTGTTTTTCATGAACGAATAAAGCATATTGAACTTGTTGTCATTTCGTTCGTGAGAAACTTTTTGATGGCTTGATTTCGTTATCATTTGTTCCATCTTCTTCTCAGTTAACTAACTTATTCACCAAGGCTCTAGCAAGGCATGTTCATCGTTTTCTATTGAACAAGTTCAGTGTCCGATCTCCAGGCATCAACTTGAGGGTAGGGGGGTGTTGTCGGAAAAAAAGGAAATGGCCCATCTTGAGCTGGATCGTTTTCGGGCTTATACAATTAGGCCTCAATTATTAACTTCTGATATATCCAGAGAAGGAGTCATATTCTGATGTAACTAGGACTCCTCATGTAAATAATCTACCTTGTAATTATCTTCAGTATTTATCTTTTAGAGTTTGTATTTATCATGAGAGATTATTTTTGTATAAATACACAGCTTTTCTGTACAGTCGAGGCATAAGAAATACAAAGGAAAATTTCTACTTCTAGTTTTCGCTTTAATTATTTTCACGTAATAACTTAAATATTTTCCACATAGAGGTGACAAAACGTATAACTTGTACGGATTTTTTCATTTTCCAAATCAATCTGATTCATTCATTTGTAAAGCTATTTACTCGTGTCTTCCTTTTACAATTTCAAACTTGTATTACTTTGCAGATAAATCATAGAAGAAATATTCTACCTAAGTTTGATTTTCTTATGGTCACTGATAGGGTTGTCCATGGTTATGGTTAAAAAATCAAATTGAATCGCAATCCGAACTAAATCGATTAAATAATCGACATTTGGTATGGTTTGGTTAGGTTTGGTTTTAAATTTTGAAAATTGATACTATTTGGTTTAGTTTTGATTTTACTAAAAAAAATCGCAAAAACAACCAAACCGAACAGAGAAATTATATATATAATTTTTATAATTATTTATATATTATTTATAAATAAAATATAAATATTTTGTTAAATTTTAAATAGCTTAAGTTTTTAACTTTACCATTTTCTCAAGCCCAACACTTTAATTTTAACCCAACTATTAAAATCCTAAGATTGTCCACAAAAATTTCATTACTTCATCTGTACTCACCCTACCTTACATCACATAGTAACACATTTTCTAGATTGAATCACTTTGTTCTTGTAATAATAACTCTAGTGCTTAATTGAATCACAGTAGCTTTCATGTGGCTTGTCATGTACTATATGTGTATCTGTTTCTATCGAGATGTCTATTTTTTCAACAAATTTATTACTTTCAAATAAAAAAACCAAAAAAATTGAGCAAACTAAACCAAACCGACAATAACTTTTTCGTTTGGTTTGGTTTGATTTTAGAAATTTAAAAACGGATTGTATTGGTTTGGTTTTGATTTTGACCAATAACTGATCCAAACCGAATCATGAGCACTTCTAGTCACTGATGTCATTACCTACATCATCATAGACCATTATTCTCTATTAAAGGGCCATCAACTCTCCAATTCAAAATATATACACCAAGATAGAGAGAAAAATTATTTAGAGAGCAAAGTGAGGTTTCCCATAAAATATACAAGAAAATAGTTTGTAAAGCAAAATAGAGTGTGAGTGATATTTTAATAAGATGAAAAATCAATAAGATGTTATTTTTTTTTAGTGCTTTGTAGTCACTTTGAGTATTGTATTCATGACTACACAATGTTAAAATTCGTTGTTATAGTAATATCAGTTACTACTCTTGACCCGTGATTTTTCCCTTATTTAAAAGAATTTCCACATAAAAATTTTGATGTCATTATTTTTCTATTTTTTGTCTACTGTTTTGACCGTATATGTATTTGAGTTAGTCCACGTTTCCTAACACAAAGATAGGAAAGAGTTTAGAAAGCAGAGACATAAATTATAAAGGGGGTTCAGAATTTCCCCTTGGTTGTTGGCTTGAATCCGGTTAAGCAATGCGTCATCTAACATATTGTTTGATTTTGGCCAAATGGTCTAATGGACCCTTGTACTTGTATCAGTTTGTATTCTGGACCCTTCTACTTAATCATTTGTCAACTGGACCCTTAAACTCAATTAAAATGAAACTCTTAAGCCCCGCTAACCATGTGTGTAGCTCACTCTCCTTTATATAAATGACATGTCATATCCACGTCATATATATTAGTGCCATGTCATAATTATTTCATAACTATTTTTAAATTATTAACCAAAATTATTTAATAAAAGGTAAAATAATAAAATTTTAAATTATTCTTTAAAGTAAACCTCCATATCTTATTCTCCCCAATTTCACTGTCCACGGCCAAAATATACCGGAGAAGCCATTGCCGCCGTCGTCGCCATTTTTGCCGGCGAAATCGCATATACTCTCCTCACCTGTCTTCATCTCCACCGCACACCATAACCATTTGCCTTTCCTCCTCCAACCTTTTACAAAACCAACAACCTAAGCCTGGTCATCACTAGATCTGGTCGAGAAGTATCAGATCTAATTCATGAAAGACGTTGCAATGTCTGAAATCTACCAATGAAAGCTATGCAAGGTGTAAACACTATATTTCACCGAAATCTACAAAATTGTTCAGGGATCAATGAAGATGCATTTTCAACATAAGCTTTCCATTCTCAGGTAGCCACTAGAGGAACAGATCCTTTAAAAGGAAGCATGCAAGAATAGGTTACATACTTCACAGTATCTATCATTATTGTTGGTGGTCTCCGGCGTGCACCACCAACGCCGCTTCTCTCTCACTCCACTGCGATTCAATGTGGTCTCTGGCGAGTACCACCAACACCGCTTCCTCCCTCCGCGGTTAATCAGTGGACTCAAGATGTGCCCAAGATTTGGTAAATTGATGTTAACAGATTGTGGAGAAGAAGAAAGAAGGGTTGGATATGCAATAAAATGGTTGAAAAGGATGGGATAGTGGGGTGAAGAAGAAGGAATTTTTTAATTAATTGTTTTTAAATTTTTTATTTCTTTTGTAATTTTAATATTTTTTAACTCAAAAATGTTATTCACTCGCCTAAAGAAGCGTGTAGTTACAAATTTTTTGCCAACTCACACATTCTAATGCCACATAAGCCTGGTCAACGGTCAGAGGGATTTGTTAAATTGTGTTTTATTGAGTGTAAGGGTTCAGTTGACAAATGATTAAGTAGAAGGGACCAGAATACAAACTGATACAAGTACAAGGGTCCACCAGACCATTTGGCCTTTGATTTTTTTAAGATACTTTAATACATCTTTATGAACTCATTCGTCCATTTTTTTTTTATTGTTCACTCCGATCCTTCGAAAATATTAAATCTTTTGCTAAAATTTCTAAATTCGCCACTGCTTTGAGAGGGTAAAATTTTATCTTCACAAGATATTCACGTCAAATGAACTATTTCGACTTATCATAATTAAGTAATTTAATGAGAGAGGCAAGAAACAAATTACAAACAATTATTGATTAACTTGATGCAAACATGGGCCGGAGTACAGGTAATACTACAACAAGAAGAACCATTAAAAACGATTATACAAGTAATCATGTACAGTTAGTGCCAAATCCAATTGTTTTCCATTCTAAATCATAAAGCACATTGAATCCACGCTGTTGAACAATACCAATAATGCTATAGCTTTCTGCTGCAGCAAAAGCCAAACAATTTACTGTACCATTTTTCCTCCATATTGTTCCTTCCTTTGTCAAAATCACATCAATAGTATTCACTTCCCCAAAATGGAATTTAATCTCTGGAAACGCGATTGGTTCGATTAATCCCTCTAAGCTGTAGCAGGTATCCATTAGCTCACCGATTTCGTCTAATAATGTATAACTCGACATGGACTGTCTAACAGCATCACGAAATGCAGAGTATACCACTTCTGGCAATCGAGTAATGGTCGTTCCACTGTCTATAATTGTCCCTCGAGACATGAATTCAGTCGATGGAACATTGAGTTCGTTTCCATCTACACTTACACCAACTAAATCAATATAGTATTTCTCTTCATGGTCACTTTGTACCATTGGTGTAAATTGATTTGTACAAGTGTTAGATTTTTCTCTGGCTTTATCCCCAAATTGTAGATCTGCACCACCACCATTTTCTGGGACAAAATAGCTAAACACTTGCATTGATGCACCACTTTGAGATGTCAATGACCATTCTCCTTTGCCAAGTCCAAGAATTCCAGCTGCATTAACAAAATTATCGCCATTGCCATCGTAGTTTTCAAGGACACAACCAAATTGAAAGTTCATTATTGGACCAAAATCATCTATAGTGAGATTGTCACATCCCCAAATGCCGTTTGCAAATGACGTATCATCATAAGAGGCTTTAAAGGGAATTGTTAATGTATAATCGCACAATGATTTTGAAGGATCATACGGGGGATCATCTGAAATGCAACCTTCTCTGCAAAATCGACAACGTACCCAAGTCCAACGGCTACCAGTGTCCACAATTAAACTATAATATTGTTGTGGTGAGCCCAGACTTATCTTTACGGTAAACAATCCATAATCAGCATTAGGATCATATTCATTATCAGAAAGAGTGTAACGATAATGATGGCGATTCTGTTTCTTATTCATTGAACGAACTCTAGCTTGATTCTTGTTTACAGATTTGCCAGCTGATGGAGTTTTCGTCAAATTAGCATTTGGAGAACAAGGATTTGAAACTCTTTGCGATCCAATTATTGGACCTAATAAGAACCATAATAATTTCATAAGCACCATGAAACAAACTCAATAGATGAATTAGGCAAATATTGCTACAAATTCAAAATTTAAAAAGTTTCGAAAGAGGGCTGCATGGTCATAACTCATAACTACAAAAGTGAATAAGAGAATACAAAATTGGATAGCAAAAATGATAGAAAACAAGTATGAAAAAATGTCAATAACAATACCTATGATGTGGTTAAGTGTTACTAAAAATTGGCCATTTTTTCAATACAATTTAAACTACGACTCAATTGGTTGATTATCTGAACTTTTATCTTATTATTAAGGGTTCAATTCCGCACCTTATAATCCTCTCTAAATTTCTCTTATCCCATTTTTTTTTAAATAGAAAAAAGGTAAATTAAAAAGTAGTTTGCTTACGCCTTTTTTTACAATAAAAGACTAATTTATCCAAACTTGTGATATCTGGTGGTAGGGGTGTAATGGTTCGTTTCGAGCATTATCTTTATGAATTTTATATTATACTAATTTCAGATTATCCTTTTATAGATCTAAGTTCAAGCAATCTTTCTTATACTGAAGTTGAACATGACAAAACGGATCTTGTTTAAAAAAAATACCTACTAATCGATTCAATTGGATCGATTAATTTTTTAAAAATCATTGATTTACGCCCGAGGCATACACGAGCCGCGGAGCGAACCCTCAACTCCATTATATCGAATCACACCATAATAAACATATTATGAAATTATAGACTAGCTCACTTATGATTTAATTTTATGCATGAGTGGCATGACAAAGTGACGGATACTTGTTGGCTACTCTAAACCATGACACACATATAAATGGAAAATTTTTAATTACCTGAGCTCTGGCAGTTAGGTTTTGGTTCCACCTGAAACTGAGGGTGAGGTGCTTTTTCTCCAAGAATAGGCACTACTTTTATTGTTAGATAACACACGACCAAAAAGAAGCATGTTGTAGGAATATGTTTATACATCCAAGCCATATATGTGTAGAATGAAAGTATTCAAAACAGAATTATTTTTTTTGTGTTGTGTGTTGTTGTGCTTTTTGACTCCTTCAATTTGTTTATTATAGGATCAACCACAATTTTATATACTTTAAAAGGAGAACAGGTCAATGCCTTAAGGACTTCAAAGTTTTTTTTTTCTTTTCTAAAATTAGGGGCAGGGGAAATGAGAGAAATTACAAAATGGAGAATCGAACCATCACTAACAAGGTGAAAGCTAAGTTGTCAACCAACTGAACTACTAAGATATAGAGATGGCTCGACTATAAAGTCACTAAAGCAATGACCTGCGGCGGCAACATATATATAAATATCATTAACTGTTAACCTTGAAAAGAAATTTTTGGGTAGAAAGTATAATCACCTTATTTAATATGAAGATTGTTGTAATAATTGAGAAATGAAATAGTTTTTCGACTAATTGTTGTATCCTTTTTTACATGATTATCTATTTTAATTTGTTGCTTCATTTATATCATTACAATTAGCATGAACCACATTATTATTTTTATATTTATCTTTTTCATTCTCCTTTCATTATTTTTATTCTCTTATAATTGACTATTTTGATGTCTCTCAAACAATCAAACATTCTACATTATGCATAATCTATTGTTGTCTATTTACAAAAGGGAAAAAGGACAAATATATCCTCGAACTATCGTAAATGGTATGCAGATACCCTCCGTCATACTTTTGGGACATTGGTCCCCCTGTCGTTCAAAAAACTAGAGCATATATATCCTTTATACTAATGGACATACACGTGTCATAATCTTATCCACCAATCCGACATTTATCGACGGATAAGATTGTGCCACGTGTCCCTATTTAGTCTTCTGTTAGAGTGAAGGGCATATATACTCAAGTTTTTGAACGGCAGGGGCACCAATGTCCCAAAAGTATGACGGAGGGTATCTGCATACCATTTACGATAGTTCGGGGGTATATTTGTCTTGTTTTCCTTTACAAAATGATTGAATTTGCTTTTCATTGTGTTCTTCAAATTTTAAGCACTGCAACAAGTTGACACTTTCAATTTTATTATATCAATTTATCAAATTCAGTGAAATACTATTTCGATATCATTATATCAGTTACTCAAATTCTTGAGTCACGTTTTATCATTCTAACTTTATATTACTATATTTTTGCATTGAAAACTTGCATTGTGTACAGTGTGCGTACATTCTGTCCTTTTCAGACTCCACTTATAGAATTACACTAACTATATTATTATTATTATTATTCAATTTATATATATATATCAACTCAAAAAAATTAAAACCTCTTTATAAAATTTTACTTTCGACCGTCAATCCTTTTGAAACGGTCTTGCTAAGATTCTCCAAATCTTTGGATCATTCTTCCATTTTCTTTTTTGTTTATATACTTTTAGCTGTTGTAACCCGTAATTGACCAATAACTGTCAAGATGGGGATTTTTTTTTGGAAGATTTCTAATATTTTTAAATAGTTTCAAATAAAAATTATTTGTGATGTACAATGAAGATTCTAACTATGTAAATTTCTATCACTTATTTATCAAGAACCTCTCAAATAGTGAAACAAAAATAAAACAATTAGAAGGTAAGATTATGTTATATCCTTCATGAGACATTAATTGATTGAACCTGATCAACTCTAACTTCTCTATCAATAAGCCTTAACTGTCACAAAAATTAACTTTTAGTAGCAATAAATATGGACATTAACAAAGAGTGCTCAAACTTTTATGGATATTAGTTAATTGTCGTTGAATATAATGTCGTTATAAGTTTTAGAAATATTTACCAAAAAATGTTAATTATCACTAAAAAATATATATTTAACACAATTAAGCTAACCATATTGAAAAATTTATAGAGAAATAAATATCATAATGTCTCCATCAAGTGTTAGGCTAGTAGAGAACGTACCTTTAATTTAAGCCAATTAAAATTGAAGACAACTAGGTCAGTCAGTCCACTAGTAATCCAAATTAATGGGGTCACTCTTTTGTCTTACAGAAAGCTAAGGTCACTGGAACCAAAATATACATCTATTAATTTTATGCATGGTGAAAATTTGCACATTTACATAAAGTCATTTTAGAGGTTTGAATTTCTTTAAAAGTTAAGTCTTAAAAAATAGGTATAATGTGAGATTTTCTGTGCTTTTAAATAGAAACACTCTTAGATATTAAAGAGTTGAGAAGAGAGTTTCCACTTTTGCCCTTATTGTCGCTTACTCGATTTTGACGAATTTCGTTTGTTGAATTCGCTAAAGTTCTGCAATTTCGATTGTCACTATTAATGCAATAGTAGGATAGTGTTTTATTAATCTATTTTGGAAGGAATTAATCCCAAACTTGAATAATTGTGGAAACACATTTTTCTGTGGCCTGTGGGCTTAAAACTTTAATGTTGTTATTTTTCTTGTTTCTTTTTATATTTTGATTACAGGAACAATAGTGCTAGGGGTGGAAGAGAGACAACTAAACTAATCTGAAATGTTATTTACGATATTCGATTTTTTTACTCTCACCAGGAAAGTTATTTTTTTATTTTTATGAACTTATTTTAGTTTCTTTAAGAAAATATTTCTCAGAATATCTAATCAAGCGGACAGAAAAACTTTGAATTTTTTTTATACCACACCATACACTGAGTGGGAGGATTTTCATTTGGTTTATCTTCATATTAGATCCTTTGTTTAAGTATCTATTAGGCTTACATTTAATTAGTTAATTAGCACTAGTTACATTTAAGCTGAAGTTCCACTGCAAATATGTAGTGAGCAAATTAAATACTTTATACCTATGGTTTAATTAAAGCTATGATAAAATCGAAGTCCCTATTAAAAAAAGTACGGTTAAATTAAAGTGTAGGTCTTGGTTCAAAGTGATGTGAAATGTTGAATTCACACAAATTTAGAAACTTAGATTTAAATTACGGTCTAAAATTTGTAAAAGAAACTGAAAATTCTATTAGTGAAATTTTATAGAATAGACTCGACAGGTTATTTTAGCGCAAAATTAGGGAAATAGAAAAATCAACCTTATCAATCCCACCCCGACCCATTCCATCTCCATTACATATGATGAGATATGTGAAGAAGTAGTTAAGTAGTTAGTTAAAAGTCATTAAACTGATGAAGGGTAGATTAGTCTTTGTGTATTGTTTAGTTGTAACAAACTATGCTCAATTAGTTAGAAGGAGTTAGTTACAGAATGTGGTCTGTAAATACCACTTCCATTACTTGTATTCTTCAGCCTTTTGAGGTCAATCAATGAGAAGCTTTTCTAAAAGAGCAGTTACAGCTTAGTGTTAATTCTGAGTTGTTTAGTTTTAGTTCATGGTGTCAAAGCTATACACAGTAATCACTGTGAGAGGCGATCGATTTGGAATCACTAAATCAATTGTGCAGATTCATCTGATTGACAGTTCTTCAGCTGAACTGAGAGGTGATTGAAGAGCAATTGAGGATTGATTCTCTTCCGCAACAAGTATTCATCAACATTTCGCTCAGAGATGGATAATACAAGAGCAGAAGTAGATCCAATTCAAGGTCTCAACAATGGCAACAATGGAGAACATGTAGGTGCATCAACTGCTCTACCTAGTTTTATGACTAGCCAAGGTATTGATTTCAATCATCCTTTGTTTCTTAGCCCATCGGATGTAAGTGGAGTCAACCTTCTTTCGTTTCAATTACTTGGTGTTGAAAACTACACTCTATGGAGTAGATCAATCACACTAGCTTTGTTAGGTCGAAATAAACTAAGTCTGATTGATGGATCATGTAACAAAGAAGTTTTTGGTGAAGAACTGTGGAGTCAATGGGAAAGAGTTAATGTCATTGTCTTAACGTGGCTAATGAATTCAGTGTCAAAAGGTTTGCTTAGTGGAATTGCATTTGCATCCACTGCTATGCAGGTCTGGAATGATTTGAAAGAGAGGTTTGATAGAGTAGATGTCTCTAGAACCTACAGTCTTCATAAGGATATTGCTTCATTGCAGCATGGTAGTATGTCTGTTTTTGAGTATTACACTAAACTCAAAACCTTGTGGGATGAGTTTGAGATGGTAGTGCCCACACCTTGCTGTAACTGTGCTAAATCAAAGAAGTTTGTCATTCACCTAAATAGACAAAAGTTGTATCAGTTCTTAATGGGATTAAATGAATCTTATCATCAGGCTAGAAGTCAAATTCTAATGATGAATCCCTTGCCTACTGTTAACCATGCTTATGCTATGATAATTGGAGATGAAAGTCAAAGAGTTGTAGTATCACCTATTAGCAACATGGGATTGAATTCTGTTAGTCTAGATTCTATGGCTATGTACTCGAAGGTAGGTGCTATATCAGGAGTAAGTCAGAGATTTAAGAAAAATTCCTTCCTGATATGTGAAGTCTGCAAATGTAAAGGTCATAGTAAAGAGACTTGTTATAGAGTAGTTGGCTATCCAGCTGATTTCAAGTCCAAAAGAAAAGTTCAAGGTTCTTCTTCAGAAGTCAACAACACTGGGCAATATCAATCAAGTCAGGCTCATTTTTCGTATGGTTTGAACACCAATGTCTGTGCACCAGGGTGGAATAGGAAGCTTGCAAACTGATCATGGAGTGATGGAGAGTGCAAATCATTCTAAGACACTAATTCAAGCTGAAATGAATGCCAAACAGTTATTGAAGGGTTGCACATTCACAAAGGAGCAATATGATCACATTCTTAAAGGACTTCAGCAACAGTTAGACACTAACACTAGCACAGCTGAGTACAACCATAGCAGTTCTACTCACACTGCAGGTAAAGCCTTGTCTGTATCTGAGAATAACAAAGTATGGATTGTTGATACTGGAGCAACAAATCACATGGTTTCTCATTTAGACGTGTTCATAAAAGGCACTGTGCCTAATGGAGATACTACTCAAGTCACTCATGTTGGATCTTGTGCTTTGTGATAAGAGCATCATTTCTAATGTATTCTACCTACCTGAATTCAAGTATAACTTGATGTCTGTAAGTAAACTGACAAAGGAGCTTGATTGCTCAGTCACCTTTTTCCCTAACTTCTATATTTTTCAGGATCTTTACAGT